CCCCCAGGAGGGCTGCCACCAGCCTGACGGGAGAGAAAGGGTGCACGTGCAAGCGCCTGATGAAGATACTTTGCAAAAGGTAGCTTTCTGCTAAACTCTAACTTGAACTCATTTTGTGAGCACAAGAAAAGGTAAAAGCCTAGGATCTTGCATCAGAGTGCTTACCTTAAATCCCAGCTGTCCTAGGCACTGACAGGTGTGATTTTACCAAAATCACATAATCCCTCCAAATCTCAGCTTCCTCCTGTGTACACTATGAGTAGAAATAATACAGACCTCTAAGGGTTATCGAGAGAAGAATCCAGGAAGTCCCTCTGTAAACGTTTCTAAAAAATGCTCTTGGAATCTGTTAAGGTTTCCCTGTCCTCGGTTTATTTTGAGAGTAAACAGACACAGACAACAGTGCAGTGATGGCCAGAGGGAAGGGGGCGGGGTGGGGCGGGGCCGGGCGGGGCAGGGCTGGGTGGAGGTGGGCAAAGTGGGGAAATGGAGACATCTGAAATACTGTTAACAATAAAAATGTATTTAGCCCCAACTGGTGTTGTAGCTCAGCAGGTTGGGCATCGTCCCGCAAACCGAAAGGTTGCCGCTTCAATTTCCAAACATAGAGACAGAGACAAACTGATGGTTGCCAAGGGGAAGGGGGGCAGTTATTGGCACACACAAAAAAAATACTAATAAAGTAAATTAAATGGGACAATTGGTGGGAAAGAATATGGTATGTGCACTGATTTTTTTAGATAAATCAGGAGAAAACAAAGAAATTAGGCCACGTGGAGGCTTTGCTTCCTGAGCGCGTGCGCACGCCTTCTCTGGACCCTCACGGAAGAACTCAGCTCAGTGCTCCGGCCTCCCAGGCTTCACTGGTCTTTGCACACCACCAGTTTGGTGGGAAAGTTTGAGGCAGCTCACCGGAAACGCAGAAACATTAACAAACGGCTCCCCCTGCTGACCCAGCTTTCAAAGCAGCTTTCCAAAACTACCGTTAGTGACTTTTCCTGCGGCACTGACCCGTCCAGCCCACACTCTATGCTTTCTGAGGAGTCGTTTGCAAAATCCTCATTTCGTTCAATGAGTTAGGTGCTTCTGTTTTTCAGTGCGGAACACAAGGGTCCCGGATGGATGGATTGGATGAGACTAGTAGCTTTTAACACCCCTCCTACCTACACTTCAGGGGACCAAAGATACTTGAATGGGAGGAAAAACCTAAAGCAGGTCTTCTCTGCAACCCCTCAGGTGACTTTATTAGGGAAAATGACGCCCCACTAAAAATTTGGAAGCTACTCATTCCTTCTCCTCCTGATGCAAAAGGTTCAGCTGTCATCTCCCTATCTCTCGTTTCTGGTTCTGCAAACAAGTGGAGATGCCCAGTGGGAATAGCTGGATATACACGTCTGAGCTCCTGAGACACAGTGGGTTCTCGTAAAGAGAGCGCCAGGTGATAGAGAACTCTAAATACCTGAAATAAATTCAGCAGGAGGGCATTATTTCTTACGCCATTGTTCTACATATTAACTGGTCACTAAAAAGCCATTCTAGGAGGGACCAAAATAGCCCAGTACAAGTAAGGTGGTACCCGATGTTCTGAAAGGATGGCCTGTCCTTTAGAAACCTTCCCTGAGTGTGAATCCTGTCAAATGAGGTTTTAGCGAGAGTATGGATCCCTACAGATACGTGGTCCATCAAGGGAACGTCTGCACTCTGACAACCAATTCCGCCAAAGTGTGTGGAAGCACAGGGACGGCTGGGGGGAACCCAGACTTCTGTGCCACAGGGTTGCCCGCAATAGCTTGAGCCCCCAAAACTCTCTGCGCTGATGTCATCAACTGCCCAGCTGGTAAAAAGGAAAAGAGAAAACTGCAGTGTAGTGTCTCCATTTCATTCTAGCCCTGTGCTTTGTGGAGAACTCCTCCAGAGATCCTAACTGCAATACGTAACCCTGGCTAATGAAATGACCTGCTCTGTTGAAACGTTGAAGCATGCCTCCCAGAAATGAGCAGATAAAATAGGGGTGCTCCCTGCCCCCACAGAGCTTACCTTCCAGCAGAGAGATGGCAGCTAAACAAATCATCACAAAATACATAGGCAATTCCAGACCGTGAAAAGGGCTCGAAGGGACAGACCGGGGAGAGAGCGCGACAGAATGACCCGACTTCAACTGTGAAGGGCTGTGTGAAGGAGGTCACACCGAAGGCCTTGCAGGTCGTGGGAAAGCTGTGTGCTTTACCTAAGGTAAGTGCTGTGAACAAAAAGTACTGCGAAGGAGTTTTGAACGGCCTAATTGAGCTATAATTTTCCTACCATACAGTTCATCCACTGTAAGTCTACAGCTTGATGTTTTAATAAATGTACATACACGTTATGATTGGGTGCAGAACATTTACCAACTTTTTAAAAAGTAAATGGGGCATTTATATTTCTTCCTTGGTGGTTTCACCATTCCTATGGTTTGGCTTGTTTCTTATTAATGATTACAAGGGCTCTTCTGGTTTCACAAATATTAACCCTTGTGTGTTTTATATGTTGAGCATATTTCCTCTTAGTCTGTCTGTCTCTTGTCTTTTATTTTATGGTAACTCTCATCGTGAAAACACTTCTAATTTTACACAAGCTCTCTGTCTATCTGGGAGGGGGTGGCTTCTAGGTTCGGTGTCCGGCTTGTGTCTTTCTCTCCCAAAAATTACTAAGATAGCCTTTGTATTATTTTAGCACATCATGAAGTAGTTTCTTATGCTTAGTCCTATGAACAATCTGAAATTTAGTTTATAGCATGCTGTGAGAGAAGAACAAAGTTTTATCTTTTTCTCAATAACGACCCCTTTTCTCACTAGTACTTATTCAATATTCCATTGTACCCTTTTATTTGAAATGCCACCTTTAATATACTAAAGTTCCATAAGCACATGGGCAAATGTTACTGGAATCTCTCAAGTTGATCTAAGAGATTCTTTTTACGGTAAGAGATGACAGTAATTCCTGATAATAAAGTCATGGTACTGGGGTAATGGTGTGCTTGTCTGCCCAGTAAGGGGTCACGCACCCACCTCAGAGAGATAGGATGTCAAGCCATTATGGACACGCCGCTCTGAAAAGAGGATATAGGCTACATCACATCAGATGTTACTTCCAAACGAACTAAGTATCTGTTAAGCCAGATTTTCATGATATGCTCCTGAAGGATGGCTTCTACTTCAGCTTCCGTAGCTCTGGAGATGCTAAACAGCTACATTCAGAACAGATTCCTGACCACAGAGGCAAAGACCAAAGAAAGATCAATAAAAGCTGCAAAGAAAGCGATGCTTAGAAAGGCAACGTGGTCACAAGGGGAGGGATGAGGCGGCGATGGTCAATACTGGAGGAGCGGTGCCCACTTCTCTCCTGCCTGCCCTGCGAACTATTTCCCTGTGGGACCTGGCTGTGCTTTGTTGGGGGGGGGGACTTACTGGCCAGCATTTTGGATTTAACGAGTGAATTAAAGGTCTATGATCAGTGGGAAATAAAGCATTGACCTATACAAAAAAGGAATAGGCCATGCTTTAAGTCCTGCCAGATGGGACCATCCTAACGGCTAAAATACGAGTAAGGGCTGCAAATTAGAAACCACCCTTCTCCAAGCCTTGGTTATCCTAGAGGCTGGAGGTTTCACCAGACACTGTTTGTCTGAGGCCATGCATTGGGGGAATTTTCTCAGCCAGAAAAAGGCTTGGGGTTAATTTCCTTATTTGGTTTTCTTCTACTGTTACATTCCTGAGAAACTGAGAGCAAGGGTTTCGAGTTGAGTCAGTTCTTCCAATATTCTCATTAAAACCAGATCAAGTTATTAAATACATTCTTCTCAAAATCTATAATATGAAAATAGCAACTATATATGCCACTCCCTTTTTACAGATGAGAAAACTGACAAAGAATTTAAGTAACATGAAACTAGTGTATGGCGTGGCCGTGATTTAAATCTAGGTCCAGCTGATTCCCGGGCTCGTGAACTGAACCAACATATCACACCCACTCAAAGTCAGGAGTGGATGGAAGGGCTGGGGTACTGGGCATGAACTAAGGAGGTTGTCATCTTTGTCTAGCACGGAAACTCTTAGTAAAGGGGTTTTATCTGGATTTCTCCAGATAGAAACGAGAGGAAGCAAGGTGTAGTTTCATAAACCCGGGCACACAAATCATCCTACAGTGGCAGCACTTACATTAAGAAGTCGAAGTGTAGGAATCTCGAGGACTTGTGTGCTTTGTCGTCACTGCTGTTGATCTTGTCCACCAAAGGGCAGACTCACGAAACCATCCTCAGTTGACAATGTTTGGTCAAATTTTTCATCCTCCTACCACAGTCAAATGTCTCAATTTAATTTCAAACTATAATTTTTAAATGTTATTTGTTAATGCTTCTCATCTATTGTTGACACAGACTATGTTAAGCTCATTCTCCACCTGTTTCCTTATTCAGTGTCATTCAAGGCAGGTGACATGTACAGTGCAGCATGTCATTTGGTTTTGTGGTCAGATAAGCAGCATTTATGAGCAGCAGACTTTAACCAAATCTGCTCAACAACCAGGTCGGATTATGTGGGTCAGAGTAGGGGACAGAGGAAATACTGAGTGTATCTGATAAAAAGTATAACCTAGAAGTTACATTAGGTGGGAAAAAAAGGACTTTGCTGAGTGGGACAATTTTTAAAAGACAGCTGAAATCCAGAAATCTTAAATTCCAGATAAAAATGCTAGGAAGGTAGAGGAAATAAAGCAAACTCCCGAGGCAGGACCTGCTGCCCTGACTCCAAGTCAGATCCCTGAGCCTTTGAGGCTGTAGGTAAACCCCACCAGGCAAAGGTAAATTCCTCCATTGCCAGGAGAATGTCCCCTTACCACCCTGAGAAACAGCCCAAACTTGTCCAAGAGGAAGAGGTTTGAATGCATACCCTGAAAGTGAAACTAGATGCAAGAGAGTTCATCAGTACTTTGTTTTTCTAATCCAGCTAAGTATTTGATCCAGAATATCAAATCATACCCATCATTTATTCAAACTGAAACTGTTTCCCAGCTACAAAATGCTTTAGATCGAAGGAGCTCTTGAACTCATCTAGCTCCAGAACGATAGGATGCTACAGAAAAAGGACTATGGGAAGAACTGGGCACCGCAGCAGCTTCTGAGGGAGGGAGGAAACGTCCCAGTATTACTCCCCACGAACTGAGAAGCACAGACAGGCAGACGAATGTAAGGAGGTGACAACCGCGGGGCGCTCTGTGCTTCCCAGCCCACATTCAGAAGATCACGTTCTGCTCTCAGAAACACATTCTAGCAAGGACGCGGGTACAGTAGAATGTCACTGGCAGAGGGTGATCCGCGTGGTGGTGCACTGGGCCCCGGAGTGCCACAGAGAACGTCAGGCAGGGCAGGAGGGGTAGGGAACGTCGGTTTGGAGCTCCGGAAGATTGTTCCTCCTGCCGTCTCACCATCAGAAATGACCTAGGAGTCCAAACCAGAGAAAGAGGCTGTGAATGAGTGGACTACCCACGTTCTCCTAGGAGACCACCAGAGCTAATGTCTCATGTCCTGCCTCCCTATTTACCTTGGTCACCCACCAAAGTCCAAGTTTCCAGGTCACACATTATCAACACACTCGTCTCTGCATAGGACACTGTACACACCCGACTGGCCCAGCCTCCCATCACTCCTGAACCATCCACACTTTCCTACCGTGTTTTGTGGAACTCACAGATGCCATCTGCAGAACCTCTCTACCCTCAAACACTTCTGAGTGTCCCTTACTGCTCTCTGCGCTTCACAATAGCCCCTGCGTGTGCATGGCTACACCTGGACCCTTCTCTAGTGAAGGATACTTTTTCCACATTCAATGTATCACAAAGCCTGGAGATGATATAAGCATCCTTGTTCCTTGTTCTCATGTAAAAAAACAATTCCCCTCCCTGATTCCACAAAATTTAACTCTGTAAAAAATGCACCCTTGAACCCTAGCAGTGTCCACTACCTCTTCCTTTGGCATCATCCATCACCCACCCATCACTCACCCTCATTCTTTGCAGATGCGAAGCTCCTGGTTTCCGGTGTTCCTCTTCAGCACAGTTGCCGCCATCAACCTTGGTGCGTCTACAACCAAATATATTAGTCAGCCAAGGCCTCAGCCTCTCAGGTCCTCAACTTCATCACCAAGGATCACTTCCTGTCTCTGAAATCTTTGCTTCTGGCATTCCGTTCTCAGATCACCGCTCTCTAGCTCTCGCAGCTCATGAACCCTGCAGCCTCACCAGAGATCCAACCTCCTGTCACCACAGCCTCATGGCCCAGCAACGTCCGCATCTCTCCAGCTACCTCGTCCATAGCCGGTGGCCCGCCGTGACCATCACTCCCTGCAAACACCATTGCCTGTCTTGCCCCCTTTTTTATTTTTCTTAGGAGGCAAAGCTTGGATGTGGCTACAACCCAATCTCCATCCGCCTAGCACCTGCACACAGGCCACTGAAAACAGATTAACACACAAGAGTGCTGACTGATTTCAACTTTAGCGCCTGATGGGAGCCTTCTGGCTATAAAGCCAAACGACTGCGTTATCTGGGTGACTCAGCTCAGGTGAGTGAGAGTGAAAGGGAAACAGGAAATAATCATGAAAATAGGGTCCAGTGACACACCCACAGGTGATAAGACTGTGTCTGGAAACCAGCCAGTGTCTTTCCAGAACGTGAATTTCTCCTAAAACCGCTGCATAACTTTCAGGTTCCTCCAGTGTTTTAACGCAATGTTTCACGGTGGCATGGTTCATTCCTAGTATGTGACTATAAAGACCTGAGTCCTCTCTTTCCTATGTGCTGTTTCCCACAGAAAGAAATGGGGTGAGAAATTCTGAAATAACTCCACCCAGATGGTTAAAGCAATACACAGTTGTACAGAATTAAACGCACCTTAAAATAACCTGCTGGAACACATTTAGCCAGAAGTGGGATTGTTGGATCAGATGGTAGTTCTATTCTTAATTTTTTGAGGTTTTGACAGGGGACTCAAGAGTTGGAAAATGTTAGTTTAAGTAATAGCTAATAAGCTTAGTGATCAATGCGCGTAAAAGCTGTGGTTCCAGGAACTGAAGGTGTGACCCACCCTGACCCAGGAGACCACAAGCAGTCCCACCCCTGTGCCTCAGGAGGGCTGCAAGCGACTCAAGATGGCATCTGAGCCCCTGTGCTCCAGGGGGAGATGACCCCCGCCCACGGCCCAGGGCGAGCACACTCCAGTTTTTAATCCAATTAACCCTTCCCTGAATTCCAAACCCCTTACCTACACTTTGTTCTCCTTATAAAAAAGGGCCATTTTTAAAAAAATTTTTTTTAAGATTTTATTTATTTATTTTTAGAGAGGGAAGGGAGAGAGAAAGAGAGAGAGAAACATCAATGTGCGGTTGCTGGGAGCTGTGGCCAGCAACCCAGGCATGTGCCCTGACTGGGAATCGAACCTGCGATGCTTTGGTTCGCAGCCCCCGCTCAATCCACTGAGCTACGCCAGCCAGGGCCCAAAAAGGGCCATTTTAAAGTGGAATTTAAGACTTTCTGTTCAAGTGTGAACCTGCCAACTTCTCAGATGATGGCCATCTGAATAAAGCACCCCAAATGATTCAATCCCCGTCTCTGCTTATTGGGTTCGGTAAGTGCCAGGCAGCACGAATGCCAGTTTTTTCCGTTTTCAGTGTCACCGTACTGTTTTCCACAGTGGCTGCACCGCTCTGCATTCCCGCCAGCAGGGCACCAGGGTTCCAGTCTCCCTGTGGACTCTCCAACACTGGTCTTTTGGATTTTTTGCTGCCGTTTTTTTGTGTGATAATAGCCATCCTATTAGGCGTGAGGTGATATCTCACTGTGGTTTGGATTTTGCATTTCTATGACGATTAGCGCTGCTGAGCATCTTTTCCTACGTCTGTTGGCCAAATCAGGATCTTGCAGAGACGTTAGCCCTCTTTTGCTTACTGAAGCTCCATTGACAGTGACCACCCATGGAAACAACTGAAACGCCCATCAGCAGGTGAATGGATTTTACAAATGTGTTGCGCTTGTACAACAGGATATTATTCAGCCTTTAAAACGAGGGAAATCTGCAATGTGCAACAACAAGGATTAAACTTGAGGTCATGATGCTAAATGAACTAGGCCAGTCACAGGAGCACAAATGGTCCCACTATATGAGGCATCTAAAATAGCCAAACTCCTGGAAGCAAAAAATACAACTGTGGTTGCCTGGGGTGGAGGTGGGGGAGGGGGGCGCAACTGTGGGGTGGGGGGAGTTACTAGTCAATGGCTATAAAATTTCAGTTACACAAGATGAATATGTTCTAAAGATGTCCTGTGCAACGCTGTGCCTGTAAACAATACATGCAGCACAGTGAAAAACTGTTACGAAGGAGATAACATGTTAACTATTTTTACCACTACATATATATTTACACACACATTTTTTAAAGATTTTATTTATTTATTTTTAGAGAGGGAAGGGAGAGAGAGAGAAACATCAATGTGCAGTTGCTGGGGGCCGTGGCCTGCAACCGAGGCATGTACCCTGACTGGGAATCAAACCTGCAACACTTTGGTTCGCAGCCCCCACTCAATCCACTGAGCTACGCCAGCCAGGGCAGACATTTTTTTAAAAAACTTGTTTGACACTGGCATATTCTTTTCATGACACAGGGGTCAAGACTATTTATTACCTGTGGACCTTGGGCAAGATACTTAACCTCTCTAGGCCCCATTTCTTTATCTGTGAAATGGAGCAATAATAGCACCTCCTTCAGAAAGACACAATGAGAATTAAAAGACTCCAGTGCTTGCAATGAAGGCCATGAGGTAAGGAGCATTAACTTTTATTATTCATTAACTTTTTTTTACTGTTTTTGCAGTGTTTATGCTGATGAGCCATGGATAAGATAGAGAAACATCCCCCAAAGGGAAATAAAAAAACTTCTCCCAACCTCAGCCCATGGTTAAAATGTCCCCCTGGTCTCCGTTGAAGCACTCTGCACTAAAATGCTCCCAGTACACGAAGGCCCTTAGAGCAAACCCCAGCTGTGCCCCGTGACGCATCACTACAAATGCACGGCTTACCTTCGTACTGAGCCTCCCTCAAGGTCCCAGGGGGCCTCACTGGGGCACAGTGAAGGAAAAGTTGGCTAGGGTTCCAGAACGGATCAGATAAGCTGCAGATACAAGCAGGGAGAGGAGCATTCTGGGAAATCTCGGAACTTCGACAAAGGGGTCAACGGACGGATGGGACTCTTTCTTTCCCTCTCATCTCACCCTCAGGTCCCAGGGCAATGGGGCTGGTTATCAGAAATCTTGAGCTGCCTTCCTCCCAGCCCATCAGAGAGATCATTTTACATGGAAACGTTTTAAACCCTGCTGCTGCTTAAAACTCTTCCATGCCTTCCCATTCCACGCCACGCCTTGGATCACTATTTTCTATCTTGGAATGAGCATGCTGGTGGAGGGAGTCTAACAGGATGAAGACAGGAAGTCCCTTGAGATTGGTTGGGTTTGTGGGAACCCCATTTGCAGGGAGGACAAACTCCCTCTCACAAGTTACAACCCATTTTCTCCTCGTAGCCCATTTCTCACACCTGGAGGAACTCGATCCCCTGAGGACAAAGCCAAAACCCTGCCCCTCCCCTTTCCCACCTCAAGAAGCCAGTGAAAACCTGGCTTCCAAATCACAGCTGCCCGTGAGCAGGAGAGTACTGATGTGAGCTCTCACAGCACTAGCAGTGGGGAAGCAGTGTGCTCAGTGGTTAGGAGCATGGTCTTTGGAGACCCACGGACAGGGCTGGAGTGTTGACTTGACCACATTCAAGCTGTTAATAAATCTTTCTGAACCTCAGTATCTTGTCTGTTACAGGATGATAGCAGTTTCCAGATGAGAGTTGTTGCAATAATTAAATGTGAGGTCTGGCACACAGTAGCTGCTTGATAAACATGGGCTGTTGTTAGTCTTAAAACCTTAATTCTAGAAGCTAGAAGTGTAATCTCCTTTCTCTCCTCTCCTCTCCTGTAATGCATACAGGAGAAGGCACACAAACCTCACATCATTCTATTAGCGATGATAAAATTATGAGAAAAGTGAAAAAAGTCTAGGGCGACTGGAGCATAGGAGAATCGAGACTTGGCACAGAGGGTGAAAGTCAGGCGAATCCTTGATCTGCGTAGGCCACGCTAAGCCTCTTCGGGGGCTGAGGCTGTTTGACTCACCCCTTATCTTCAGCAGCTCTAATTGAGTGCTTTGCATAGCAGCAGAGTGCTGAATACTCGTGACATGCAAACGCGAATGTGTGAAGTTACATTTACTCAAGCTCAGCTGAGTCAGGGGGCCTGGAAAACCGTGAGGAGTCCCAGCAGATGGAACAGGCTGAGTCTAGCTGGGAAATTTGCATCTGAATTCTTGTTTCTGGCTCGATGAACTCATCCGCTGAGTCAGAAACCATTTTCCCGACGTTCCTGTGGAGTCAGATGGCAAACGCTTAACTTACTTATTTCCAACCATTTTTTTAAATGTAAGAAAAAAGGTTTTAAAAATAAAACATGTTCATTTCAGAAAATCTGGAACATACCCAAAATATATGTGACAATTTAAATCCTTGTAATCTCACCAGCTAATTATGTACTATTATAACAAGATTTTCTCATGTCATTTTCTTTAAAAGTATGATTTTATTGATGTAACTTTCTATTAATGCATACATCAAACTATCTTCAATTTATTTAATCATCTCTCTGTCATTGGACATGTGGATAGTTTCCGAATATCCACTCTACCCTTGTAAATGTATCTTTAAATACATCTCTAATGATTTGCATACTCGATAGTCCTAAAAATAGTCTTACAAATCCTAAACACATAAAGGAAGCCCAGAAAAGATGGAATAGCATGTCTATGTAGAACAACTTACCAGAAGAAATCTGTAGATTCTTCTACAAATAACATGTATCACACATTTCCAGTCAAAATTCCAGCATGACTTTGAAAGAAATGTGACTAATTAGTTCTAAAAAGCATAACAAATAGCTAAGACACAAGCAAAGATGGAGCGCTTTTCTTACCAGCTATTGAAACATACCACAAAGCCACAGCAAAGAAAGTATTCTCATACCGGTACAGGCATCGACAAATAGATCAAGAGAACAAAACAGGGATCCCGAAACAGACCCACACGCGTACGGGAACTTCACGCACCGTTGCGGTGGGATCACTATGCAATGAAGAGAAAGCAGACAGATTATCTAGGGAATGATTCTGGGAGAGCTGGTCACTACACGGAGAAAAACACAGTTGGATCCCTACTTCACACCACATACAAATGTTAACTCTCATAGACTGGATACTTTAACCTGAAATGGAAACCAAAAAAAAAAAAAGGAAAATATAGAAGAATATCTTTTGTGACCTAAAAATGAGAAGGAGTTAGGAAGGAAAGCATAAAAACCACAGATGATCTGGGGGAAAATTTGTGGATTGCA